GAAGCAGTGGTTTTTGTCACACTAATTTAATTATGTATGTAGAAAAATGCTACTAAGATAGCTAAAATAATTCAGAAGTGAAGAGAGGAGTAAGAAATATACAGCTGGACTTGCCCTCTATTTAACTTAGTCATAGATTAGCTAAATTAGCTATACAGCTGGACTTGCCCTCTATTTAACTTAGTTATAGATTAGCTAAATTAGCTAAGTTTTCCTTGCCCCTCCAAGGCTTTCTTATCTTTTAATTCTCCTCCAACCCGTCTCTGTCCATAACACATTAGAACCCAAAGCCTTCCCCCAATGCTTCTGGGGTTTCCTGAAGATTTACTTTGTTTTGCTCTCCTTGCCTCCAATTATTTGTGTGTCGATTCTAATCTTTTATGCCTCTATGTTGGGTAAACCTCAGTCCTTCAAAAATTTCAGGGAAATCCAGTAACAAGACCGCTTTGTGAATTCAGTAAAATTTGACTATAGGTTTGGGGTTTATCTTGAAGTAACTTGTGTCCTTTTGCTCTCCTTGCCCTCCATTCTTCTTTTCTCTTTTGTTTTGCCTCTCTCCTGTGAATAGTCTCAGGAATTCCATATAGATATTCACTCAGCCGTGTCTAACTCTTTGCAGCCCCAGGGACACTAGGTTCTTCTGTCCATGGAACTTCCCAGGCCTGAATGCTGGAGTGGGTTGCCATGCCCTCCTCCAGGGGATCTTCCCAACCCAGGCTATCAAACCCAGGTCTCCTGCATCACAGGTGGATTCTTTACTGGCTGAGCCACCAGGGAAGTGAAATTCCTTATTATGTAGATCAGTTGGGTATATTTCAGCCTTTACCCCCAAACCAGCATAATTCAGCTCATTGAAATGATCATGAGAAGCACGTGGTGTACCTGTGGAGGTCAGTTTCTGGATCCTCACTGAATTCACATCCCAGCTCTGCTACCCACTGTTTATCTGTGACTTTGAGCAAGTGACTCTACCTTTCTGATCTGTGAAATGAAGGTAATAATACTATCATCTCAGATGGGCTTTTGTGGGGATTAAAGATGGTAATTTACATAAAAGATTTAGCCTCCTGTACAGAATGCATTTTGTGTATGTTGGACCTTTCTCCTTTTTCCAGTTACTGATACATTTCACCATTATTATTCCTAAAATCTTTTTGCTCCTATGACAGTAAACCCAGGCCTGAATGCTGGAGTGGGTTGCCATGCCCTCCTCCAGGGGATCTTCCCAACCCAGGGGATCAAACCCAGGTCTCCTGCATCGCAGGTGGATTCTTTACTGGCTGAGCCACCAGGGAAGTAAAATTCCTTATTATGTAGAGCAGTTGGGTATATTTCAGCCTTTACCCCCAAACCAGCGTAATTCAGCTCCTTGAAATGATCATGAGAAGCACGTGGTGTACCTGTGGAGGTCAGTTTCTGGATCCTCACTGAATTCACATCCCAGCCCTGCTACCCACTGTTTATCTGTGACTTTGAGCAAGTGACTCTGCCTTTCTGATCTGTGAAATGAAGGTAATAATACTATCATCTCAGATGGGCTTTTGTGGGGATTAAAGATGGTCATTTACATAAAAGATTTAGCCTCCTGTACAGAATGCATTTTGTGTATGTTGGACCTTTCTCCTTTTTCCAGTTACTGATACATTTCACCATTATTATTCCTAAAATCTTTTTGCTCCTATGACAATATTACTTGAAAGAGGGAGGTCAGCTAAGAAACAGACTAAAATAATAGCTTACTTTAAGACAACAGATTAAAATAATAAATTGTTAGCACTTTCTCATGAAGATATTGAATGTGATATTTTCTGTTCCTAAAATATTGTCAAAGTATTATTGTAATTCTTTTAAGAGACTGATTCAAGAATAACAAGTGAGTATCAGAGGTCATTTTTAACTAACTTAGTTTAAAATATTTCCTGGTATTATATTTTTAAATGATAATTGTGGTTTATTTGTGATATCTTTTGCTCCCATTACCCTAATTAACCCAGAGTTGGATATCATTGTGCATAAAAACTAACTCAGTTGGAAATACCTTTTACTTACAAACCCTTTCAAATCCTATGCAGGGATTCCTACTGTTTACAGTATAATATATAAATAAGAAATTACAATCTTCTTTAATTATGTGTCATATTTTTAGCTTTTCTCAGAGTTTTCCTACGTCCTTATCCCCACCCACTTTGTTGGTATGTTATTTGGATCAAGATTAATTTACAGTATTTTTTAGAGATTGTAAGGGACTCCCTATTCATCAACCCTGCTTTATTTTTAATGTGTTATTTAATACTTCTGCTGCTAAGTCGCTTTAGTCGTGTCCGACTCTGTTCAACTCCATAGACAGCAGCCCACCAGGCTCCGCTGTCCCTGGGATTGTCCAGGCAAAAACACTGGAGTGGGTTGCCATTTCCTTCTCCAATGCATGAAAGTGAAAAATGAAAGGGAAGTCGCTCAGCTGTGTCCAACTCTTTGCAACCCCAGGGACTGCAGCCTACCAGGCTCCTCCGTCCATGGGATTTTCCAGGCAAGAGTACTGGAGTGGGTTGCCATTGCCTTCTCCGATTATTTACCAGCAGGATACCATATTTTCAAACACTTGGGTAATTTCTAATTTTTCTCAGATATTGAAGTGAAGTGAAGTGAAGTCGCTCAGTTGTGTCCGACTCTTTGCGACCCCATGAACTGTAGCCTACCAGGATCCTCAGTCCATGGATTTTCCAGGCAAGAGTACTGGAGTGGGTTGCCATTTCCTTCTCCAGGAGATCTTCCTGACCCAGGGATCGAACCCGGGTCTCCCACATTGTAGGGAGACGCTTTACCGTCTGAGCTACCAGGAAAGCCCTCTTTAAGCATCACTTTAAAAAAAACTTTTAAGATATTAAGTGTCACTTTAAAAAAAAAACTTTTTATTTTGTATTGAAATAGAGCTGATCAACAATGTTGTGATAGTTTCGGGTGGACAGTAGAGGCACTCAGCCATGCATAATACATGTCTCCGTTCTCCCCAAACTTGCCTCCCGTTCAGGCGGCCACTTAACATTGAGCAGAGTTCCCTGTAAGCCCCACTTTGGAAATGGACTTATTATCAGTTGGTTTGTGCACAAAACACTTGGTAGATGGTTAGTACTTGATAGCAGTCATTAGGCGAAGTGTGTATCATATTTGTCCTTGATAACCTCTCAATAGCTTTTTATCATAGGGGACTTTCTGAGCAACAAGGCAACTAACAGCAATAGATGATGTCAATGAAAAAAATCTAAATCAACTCATAATATTGACTATTTTGTTCCTCCTTGACAAGAAACTAGTAAACAATAGTATTTTCAGTAAAGATCTCATTATTAAGGCAGTTGAACATAGACTTCTCAAGGTTTTATATAGCCCTGTAGGAGATCCTTGATTTAAAATTGGATTATGATATATAGTTTCCTTTTATGTCTGTTAATTCATAACACAGTTTCCTTTAGAAATAATGGAATAAGTGTACTGAGACTTCTGCACTTAAACATACAGTATTTTGTAAGCCCTATTAAAATGAGCCATGGTAATTAGGAACATCATTTATGCTAAGAATACAACACATTTTTTGAGAAGATGTGATTTGTTTTTTTCTTTCCCTTACCTTCATTTTCCTTTCCGTTGAGTTTCTGCAGGTTCTGCTCTGTAAGGAATATGATTGGTAGCAACAGGGACATACATATCTCCTCATCTTTTCTGTACTCATTGCCACAGGAGTCACAGTGATTTAGACAAAACTGGGTGGTTTGCAGAGCCTTGTAGCCATATATAGCCATATATTACCATATATTATATGCATAGTCCTAGACGCCACTGACCAGTAAATTTTGGCTGGAGCTCGGAGTCTGTATTTTTACAAACAACCCAGGTGATTTTGTGTAGGTGTAGGTATAGGTGGTCCTCAAATCATAATTAGATATTGAGGTAGAGGCTCACTCTGACTTACCTTGCCCTTGGAAAACAATCTCGCATAGTGGAAATGAGTCCAGAGTCTGATCTTGGGGTTAAAACCTGACTTCTGCATTGTTAGGAAAGTTGGGAAACCTTGTGAACTTGGGCAAGGTATTTAATGCTTTGGTGCCTCAATATGTTTATCTGTGCCGTGGGGCTAATGATGGTATCTACCTTATACAGTTGTAATGAAAAATAAGCCAATGTATGCAAAAAGTCTGGACACAAAGAAAGTGCCCAATAAATGTTAGGGTTTTATCCTGTGGCTGTAATCCAAATTATTTATTATTTATGCACATAGAGGTGACTTCAGCTCTCAGCTATTCAATATCTTGTTCATCTCCTTTAGGAGGTTTTAACTGAACTAGACCTAGACTGTGCTCCTTTAATATACATATTTCTTTTCTATCTTTTCTGTAATTCTGTCACTGCATTTACTATATTGTATTGAAGATTTCTCTTCCTCCATCTGACTTCTTCACTGGCCATAAACTCTTAGAGGGTGAGGATCTTATTTTTTCACTCACGCTTGTACCTCGTGAACTGAGTGCCTTGACTGGACACTGCTGAGCTGAAGATACTGGTCGGCTAAAAGCTAGTTGATAATTGACTCTTGTGCTTGTCCTGGCTGTATCTTCCCTGAGCAAAGAGAAAGGAACTATTTTCCATAATAGAACCTGGATGATGTTTAGGGGAGAAGATTTAGTCACTGATTTATTTCATGAATATTCATTTCTTGAACATCCACCATGTGAATCAAATCCATTCACTATGACTGTGCCTCTATCTTTTACCACTGAGCATGCAATAGAATACTCAATTGTATAGCCTTTAGGCCTCTGGATATATATCGCAAAACTTGCATTGAAGGTACGGAATCACAGTTAAGTTCAAAACACCTAGATAAAGGCCACAATGAACAGTTCAGTCTAACTGAACACTCTACAGTTTTTTATACTGGTTAGTGTTTAGTGTGACCAGCACCCTGGATTAACTACTGATGGAATTTTTCATTAAACATTTTTCAGACATCGAGCACTGGAAGACACTCTGTTCGCATCACTGGCCTCAGTACTATTGATTTTCGAGCTGGTTTTTCCCGAAAGCCCACCCTGGACTTCAAAAAAACAGTCAGCAGACCAGTGCAAGGTTTGTATGTGTGCGTTAGTTCAATTGGCATAGTAGATATTGAAGTGCAAAGTATTTCTCAGACTGTGGTTTTGTAATTTTTTAGTTCTTCAATAAAATTGGGAAACATGGCCTCTTTATTTGAAATATTATTACACTTCTGTCATAGTCATTGTTTCTCAAAGTATGGTCCAAAGACCAGTGATATTGAACTCACTTAAGGAGCTTATCAAAAATTAAGATTCCTGGGGCCTACCTCAGATCTCCTGAATGAAAATTATAGATAGTAGGTCCAAGTTTTGTTGTTTAGTCACTAAGGCACATCCAACTCTTTTGCAACTCCATAAACGGCAGACTGTGTCTCCTCTATCCATAAGATTTCCCAGGCAAGAATGCTGGAGTGGGTTGCCATTTCCTTCTCCAGGTCCCAGGAGTATACACTTTAACAAGCACCTCATTGATTCCTATACTTATACTAAACTTTGCAAACTGCTGACCTAGATCTTGGAGCTTTTTCTTACTAGCATCTTACTTGCCTATTGTCAAGGTGAAAATATAGTGTGTGTGTGTGTGTGTGTGTGTGTGTATAGTTAAAACATTGAAGATATCACATAGCACTGTATGTTCCAAGATGAAGTTATTATTGATTTGAAAGGTACTTTTTCACCTTATCTTTATTCGTGCAAGATTTATAGCTCTGTAGCTGAAAAGAAGGCTTAGTCTTACTGTGACTAAATTTTTTTTTTCTGATTGTTCTTTTATTTTTATTGCTTCAGTTACTAGAAGGTTACAAAATAGTGAATCTTTAAAAATATTCATGTAATCAAATATATTATGCAATATTCATAATTCTAATTTTCTACATAGAAACATGATTAGATAACTTAAAAATCATTATCTATGGTTCCCTGTATTTCTCTGGTCATAAATAAACTGTCTTTTATGTAGAAAAGATTCCAGAGCAAGGCCACAGTTTTTGGCACAGCCGATAGTATTCATACATATGATCCTGGTTACCTGTTGTTACAGTACAAAACTTAATAAATAACCTTGAGTGCATGTTACTTATAAATGATAAATTCTTTCTCTTGTAGGAATACCTACCTATGTGCTGCTGAATACTTCTGGAATTTCCATCCCAGCTAGAGTAGATCGTCTTGAACTTCTGAGTATCTCAGGCAGTTCTCTTAAGACTATTCCTGTTAAATATTATCCTGAGAGAAAACCTTATGGCCTATGGAATATTTCTGATTTTATACCACCAAATGAAGCTTTCTTTCTCAAAGTAACAGGCTATGATAAGGATGATTTTCTCTTCCAGAGAGTGTCAAGTGTTTCCTTCTCTAGTATTGTCCCAGGTAAGATGTCACTTTATTCATCACTGGAGTATTGATAGTTTAAGGGGTTTGTGTGGTCCTATAGGTATAAAATGGACTCTAAAGTAAAAAATAATATCCTCACATTATTACTGAGTCACTATGTGGAAAAACATTTACACATAGGTAACACAACTTTTCTTAACCATAAAATAGACATTCAAAATTTCATGTTAAATCGCACTAATTTGTAGATCTGAGAATCTTAGTAGATTCTAAATCTGTAGATCTGAGAATCTTACTTCAATCAGTGTAAGAACTTGAACTGGGAATTTCTGATGCTCTTCAGTTCAGTTGATCAGTTGTGTCCAACTCTTTGGGACCCCATGAACTGCAGCACACCAGGCTTCCCTGTCCATCACCAACTCCTGGAGTTTACTCAAACTCATGTCCATCGAGTTGGTGATGCCATTCAACCACCTCATCCTCTGTCATACCCTTTTCTCCCGCCTTCAATCTTTCCCAGCATCAGGGTCTCTTCAAATAAGTCAGTTCTTTGCACCATGTGGCCAAAGTATTGGAGCTTTAGCTTCAGCATCAGTCCTTCCAGTGAATATTCAGGACTGATTTCCTTTAGGATTGACCAGTTTGATCTTGCAGTCCAAGGGACTCTCAAGAGTCTTCTCCTACACCAGAGTTCAGAGGCATCAATTCTTCGGCACTCCACTTTCTTTATAGTACAACTCTCACATCCATACATGACTACTGGAAAAACCATAGCTTTGACTACACGGACCTTTGTTGGCAAAGTAGTGTCTTTGCTTTTTAATATGCTGTCTAGGTTGGTCATAGCTTTTCTTCCAGGGAGCAAGCGTCTTTTAAGTTCATGGCTGTAGTTACCATCTGCAGTGATTTTGGAGCCCAAGAAAATAGTCTCTCACTGTTTCCATTGTTTCCCTATCTATTTGCTATGAAGTGATGCTCTTACTCCCCATAAAAAGCCTGGTACTTGTGTTTAATGTTTGATTAAGCTGTCTGATTTGGCTAACGTTTATATGTGATTATCAGAAACCTTCTATATAATAATCAATACTTCATTGTAAATAACATGATGATTTTGCCTTTCTTTGGTTAGTTGGTTGGTTAGTTAGTTAGTAGGCTAGTTATTTATGTATTTGCTATTATTTCCAAATGCTGATGACTGAATTTGACCAAAACTTTAAAACCGTGTGTAGCTTGAACCATGGTCTGACACAGATATCAGTCAGTTCAGTTGCTCAATTGTGTCTGACTCTTTGCAACCCCATGGACTGCAGCACGCCAGGCTTCCCTGTCCATTAGCAGCTCCCGGAGCTTGCTCAAACTCATGTCCATTGAGTCAGTGATGCCATCCAACCATCTGTATCCAACAGATATAGAAAGATTGATTCTAGTATTGTCCTACTGGGTGAAGCAGTAACAATTTATCATTTATATAGAAGGTTATCATTTGGGAAATTCAGGAACAACTCTATTGTTTAATGCTGAAAAAAGATCATAGTAAAACCAACCTCAGTGTTTCCTCATAGACAGTATTCAGAGTTAGTTGCTTTAGTCCCTGAATTGAATGCTTAAAAAAAACGACTGGGTTCTTAAAAAATCAATTTTTTCATTCTTTTTCTGGAAACAGTTACCCTATGAATTCAGTTCTAAGCTATGTGGGTTCTTACATACCTTTACATTTTCAGAATTAAACTCTCTTCTACAGTTGATGATACTTGATAACTTATTTGGTAATTTTGTTTTCTGTCTTGCTGGTACATAAAAAAAAAAAATGCCTTAAAATCAGTGCAGTCATAGATTCAATGAGTACTTTCTGGAGATAATCCAGAAATTAATAAACTCGGAACAAAGAAAGATAATTAAAGTGATTTTTAGTGATTTAGATTAATTGGAATGCAGAGAATTTACTGGAATAGTTTAAGCATGAAGCTTTTGAATGGATTAATAGGAAGTACCAAATATCATTGTGACCTTCTTGCCCATGTTCTTCTTTTCCCAGATGCTCCAAAAGTTACAATGCCTGAGAAAACCCCGGGCTACTACCTGCAGCCGGGCCAGATTCCCTGCACTATTGACAGTCTTTTGCCTTTTACCTTGAGTTTTGTCAGAAATGGAGCTACACTTGGAGTCGACCAGTATTTAAAGTGTGTTAATGCTTCTATTAGTAATATTTTATAGCGTGAAACATCCAAAATACAGATAGATACTTATGTTAGTGTACATATTCATTATACATTCTTATTTGCTTCATAATCTTGGAGTATAGCACTGAACAAAACAGACACAATTCTATACCTTTGTGGAGCTTATATTGTAAAGAAAGAAGACAGGAATAGATAATAAGTATTCTATGGTAATATAATAAATGCTATAATACATTTAAGAGTTGATTCCAGGTTTTATAGAATCTGAATTTTATAATTTGAGGGTCCCTTGATAAGACAAAGAATACAAAATTATGAATACAAAGTTAGGTACAAGGGCCCTTGCAAATGAAAGACCCTGAAGTTTAAACTTTAGTGGCTTGAGGGTAAATATGTCTCTGAATCTGATTTAAAGTGTTATGATAAGTCAATCTGATGTGTTGCAGTAAAAAGTAGAGCAGGTTATTTCAGGCACATAATTACTGCTTGGTGGACTGCATGTGATTTAGGCCAAGTTGCAATTTAAAAATTCACAGTAGAGACATTTGAGTAAGGACCTGAACATGGTGAACGAGATGGTCATGCAGGTATCCAGGGAAGAGTGTTCATATACCAGGAACAGTCATTGCAAGTGCGCTAAACCAGAGGCCCCCAGGCATGCGGGAAGGAAAGACAGGAAGAAGCCAGTGTAGCTGGAGCCCAAGGATCCAGGAGGAGAAGGGTGAAATGTGTGCTGGGATGCTGTTAGGAGACATAAGAGACTGGGGTTCCATCTTTTGGTGGGTAAGATCCCCTTGAGGAGGGCACATGGCAACCCACTCCAGTATTTTCGCCTGGAGAATCCCATAGACAGAGTAACCTGGAGGGTCACAGGGAGTCGGACACGACTTAAGCGACTTAGCACATGCACACACACACACACACATGCACACACACACACACTTCAGCCAAAAATCAGTGGAAGTCGGCCAGAGGACACCAACTTTCCTTGAGAAGACTGGTGAATTTTCTAGACAAATTTAAGTCATCTAATGATAAATGTTAAGTAGGCCTTGAAAAACTAGAGGATGATTTCTGGAGAACTTTTTTTCTTTTCTTAGCTTACTGTCAAACAAACTACATTTAAGGAGAATAACTCTAAGTATTATTTTATAAAACTTTCAGACTGATAAGTCAACATTCACATAAATTAGCTTCTGTAATATGTTAATTTTTGACAAATTCATACAATCTCCTCATGGGGTCATTTAAAGTAAAAGCTATGGCAAGAATGTTTATCATAACTTGAGACAATTTTCCATTAGGTAAAGATTGGACTTATTATTTCCTGCTACTTTCTTAACATATGTCTTGATGATTTCCTTAGCTGCATAGTTAATAACCAGCAACATTAGCTGACCAAGATATCAAATGACAAACTTACATACCTAACTGATGAAATCAAACAATTCTGCTTTGGATTTAAATAGTAACATTTCTGAAAGTTACTTGAGATTCTTTATAAACATTAATTTATTAATTTCACACAATTCCTCTGAGGTAAACCACAAGGATTCTTTCTTGCATTTTTCCAACTCTGTGGCCCAGAGATGTGACATGCCTTGCTGACATTTGTTAAGTTCTTTAGATGTAAGAGTCTAGAGACAAAATTGGGCATGGGTGATGATGGATTTGATATTCTAATCCCAGTTCACTCACACATCTCTGCCCTAGATTCCCTAACAGCTCCAGATGCATGACTGGATCTTTGTTATGTGAGTCACGATGGTTTCTAGGGGATGTGGGAGAGAATTAGTTTCCATTAACAACAAGACTCATTTCTAACTGACGTGTTCCTTTCCCTGTTCCAAAGGCCGTTCCTTCAAAACTTTTTATTGTGACCATACAATCTTAGTGAACTTCCCTGGTGGCTTTTTGTGGTAAAGAATCTGCCTGCAGTGCAGGAGACCTGGGTTTGATCCCTGGGTTGGGAAGATCCCCTGGAGAAGGGAATGGCCACCCACTCCAGTATTCTTGCCTGGAGAATTCTATGGAGGCATCTCCTCGCCATGGACAGAGAATAATGCCTACTGATAAGGCAACATGAAAAGGAGAATTGTTTTCATGTAATAATTTCATAAACAAGATAGGAATAAATATAATACTAAAGAATATTCTCTAAGCAACCCATACACTGGTTACGTGCCTTTGAATAAATTACTTGTTCTTCTCCCTGGATCTCAAGTTTCTTGTTTTTAAAGAAAGGGCCCTAAGACCGGAAGAATTGCTGCTTTCTATTCTAAAATTTCCATGTGTCTTAAGTTTTTGATGAATCCTGTATACTTGGCTCTGAAGTAAGCACTGCAGAAGGCACAAAAAATGTGTGTAATTCAAACTTCTACCTGCCGGGAGCTTACCAGTACCTCCTAGATAATGGCATTTGTAAACTTGGGCTTAGCATATTGCTCTAAAGCATTCAAGATGCATCTTAGGTGATCAGTGCAGCAAAAAGTAAGTCATACTCCATTTTCTTCTCACAGTGACAGTAAGGACCAGTGACACCTAATGCAGAGATGCATGTGAAAGGAAACAGTATTAACTGAAGTACATATTCTCAGTTACTAAAATATATGGAATGGTCACCTTGCTTACTTTCTCACTTTCCTGATGGCAGGAACCTGTGTCTTGACTTTCTCTTAAAAACTATAGGTTAGTGGTAAATGTACATTAAGAGCTCAATGAATTCTTCATAGTGATTTGGTGATGAGTACTGTTCATTTGAATTGGGAGGGCTCTGGACTTATTACTGTGAGAAATATATCTTGTACCATTTTCAGCTTCAGTGGAAGGTGTCTTGACTCTGCAGTGGGTCATTTTATCCATATCTTGAATGTTTAAAAAATGTTGTAAATATCTATGGATGATTATAAGAAAAAATATGAAAATATTTATGACATTGCAATCATATGTTAGAGCAATATAATGCTTATCTTATAGGTTATCAGAATCTTTTAAATAAGAGTTAAATGGCTATTACTAAGACACTTCCAGAAGATGAGTAACAGTTTGAAGTGTTAGAGGACATGTGTGCTAAGTTGCTTCAGTTGTGTCTGACTCTTTGTACCCCATGTTACAAAGCCCACTTCACTGTAGCCCACCAAGCTCCTCTCTCCATGGGATTCTCCAGGCAGGAACACTGGAGTGGGTTGCCATTTCCTTCTCCAGCGCATGAAAGTGAAAAGTGAAAGTGAAGTCGCTCAGTTGTGTCCGACTCTTAGCAACCTCGTGGACTGCAGCCTATCAGGCTCCTCCGTCCATGGGATTTTCCAGGCAAGAGTACTGGAGTGGGGTGCCATTGCCTTCTCCAATTTATTAAATGAGTGAATATATAACATAGCACAAAGATTTGTTTTACCTAAATGACAACTTTGACTATAAAACTGATCGTTTTCTTTTGTTCATTGTATACATATAATGAACCAGATATGGTATATAGTCTTATGTGGAGCTTATACATAAGAAAGTTGAAGATAATTTATCTTTTTGAGAACCAAAAATTCTGTTTTCTACCTTCACACTTGTTAATTATCTGGTTCAGTTGCTTTGGCTCAATCTCATTGAAAATGACCAAAAACTCAAAACGAGAAGGGAAGGAGAGAAGATTTAAGGAGTGTTTTTCTGCCAGTTTTAAAAAATCTTACTTATTTAATTATTTTGACCTAGTCAGAGAATGTTTTCCTAAAGAAATTTATAGTCTCCATAACTTGACAGGCTCAGACTGTATTTCTAAACAGCAAATGTAGAGGCCTGATCAAAAAATAATAGTAAAAAAAATAGACATATGAATGTGAAAAAAGTGAAAATTAAAAGTGGTAAAATTATTAGCAGTTTTTTTTTTAAATGACCTTTGAGAAAAATTAAAGATGTCTCCCTGATATTTACTCAGTAAAAAAGGTTCATTCTTCTATCCACAGCCTCTTTAAAGTTATTCTCACATTTGGAAATGATTTCTCTTGTTAGAACCTGGGAAGATCAATAAAAAAAAACAAAAGCAGTTACTGTCTTTGTTTTTCGCTCAGATTAGAGAAGCTTAACTTTCTACTTAAAATATAAAAGGTGTATAGTTTTAAGCTACAAAGAAATCTGCAGTTTAATCAATTTACTTTATTTAAACTGTTTTCTTTATTCATTTGAATGAATAGACAAATAGTGGAATCACTGCTTTCAATCTGGTCTTGTTTTTGTAGTAACTAAGCATGGTTCTATTTTCTTACTCCAGAGAATCCGCCAGCGTGACCTGGGATATTGAAGAGGTCACTCTGTCTGACGAAGGCGCCTATGAGTGCATTGCTGTCAGTAGTGTGGGGACTGGACGAGCACAGACGTTCTTCGATGTGTCAGGTAATTATCACTAATTGCTTGGCAGTTGCCTCAAGTATCAATGCAGGTATGGAAATGGGATGTTTGTTAACCAGGCTTTCCTGTGTATTAACTGTGTGACCTGCCTTGGACCAGTTAAGAACTCAGTGCCTTGGTTTTCCCACTGTAAAATGATGATAATAGCAGTAATAGTCTCTTTTTTCATGGAGAAATTACGAGGATTAAGTGAGATAGTATATGTTAAGCACTTAGAATAGAATCAGGCACATAGAAACAACTAATAGACATGAGTTTTTAAAATTATTGTTGTTGTTATTATCGTAGGGGTTTAATATTTTGAAATCCCTATATGTCATTCTCCTTTGAGAAAACAAGTGAGAAATCCATTTTTAGAATAGCAAGGTTCAACTTTCCCTTTCTCTTCCCATATTTATAATATGCAAAGTGCTTTTGTGAATGGATTCTGGCATCTGAGTTGAAGACAATAAGTATCACATTCAAAAACATAGGACCTCAGTGATTACAATATTGGTATCGAGAGGGACAGAAGTCATGCTAATTAATTCACATTTAAATAGTAAGTTTTCCATAAATGCTTCCCTGGTGGCTCAGGGGGTAAAGCGTCTGCCTGCAATGCGGGAGACCCGTGTTCAATCCCTGAGTCGAGAAGATCCCCTGGAGAAGGGAATGACAACCCACTCCAGTATTCTTGCCTGGAGAATCCCATGGACAGAAGAGCCTGGTAGGCTACAGTTCATGGGGTTGCAAAGAGTCGGACATGACTGAGCGACTTCACTTTCTTTTCCTATAAATAGACAGGGCTCTGATTATATTATCATTTTTCCTCCAATCTCCCAGAATTCTTGAGAAACCAAAACAACTGCCATATATTATCAGTGATCAAGATTAAGCTACCTACTCATCATGTATCTAGAATTTATTGGAAATTTTGTTTTGACTCAGTTATTTTCTGCCTGCCTTATAGCCTAGGGCTAATGTGTGTTTAATAGTAACCCTATTTTGACCTAAACGCGCCTGTGGCGTTTTCTTATAACAATATCTGAACTGTCAGTTTGTGCATCTGAAATGTCAGATGTGCATTTTCTTGGAAAAATTTAAGACAAAAGAAGCTTGATAACTGTAGGACTGTTTAGAAGCCCAGAGTTTACGTTTATTATCAATAAGTTCAAGCTGAACTTTTAAACTGAGGCATGCAAGCCTGTTCTTCTTGCAGTAAATTATTTGTATTCTCTTATTCTTAGAAAAATAAAGTTTGTCTTCTGAAACTATTTAGCAAGTTGACATACATCATAAACTATTCATTTTTTCATCTCCAGTAATTCTGAAAAGCATTGGAATCATGTCAACATTCCTCAGCTTCTGGGAAAACAAACACTTGAGCACTTGAGTTTTTTCCCAGCAATATTAATTAAGAGAAGGACAATAGGGAAAAGCGATTTCAGTGAGTGGACTCAGGCGTCTCGCATAAATAACTGGGAAGTGCCAGAAAGGCTTGTGAACTGACTGCTAAGAATTTGGCCCTATGGTGTCAGTAACTTCTGAATATACACACTACACACGCCCTTGTAGTATTAATCTGTGCCAGCCAGCCCATGGTATCACCAGGAAGTTGTAGTATGCCAAAGCCAGTTTTCAGGAATTGTGTCCCATTTGCTTAATTATGAAAGAGGAGGCAGAAGTATGAATGCTACAGCAATTTTGGAATTGGAAGAGTGGACATTTCTTTCTGAACTTTTTTTTTTTTAACCTACCAGCCTTAAACTTCCACCCAGGCCCTGGCTCAGCCATCCTACTGTTCCTACTAACTAGCACAAGAGAATCAGCTGTTTATTCATAGGATAATTAGGTGTTATATTTTGACAGCAGTGTTGGGAAGCACAGCATGATGGGATGGTGATGTTTTACTGGTGTCACTGAGGACATTATTTTATAAAGTCACCCGAGAAATGTTTCAAGGAAAATTAAAGTTCCACCAATATGTTACTTCAATATTTTCAGCATTTTCTTCCAGCCAACAATTTTAAGGATTTTAGGTTCATTGGAAATATTGATCTTGATAATTTTAAATGCCAAATGAGTGTAAAAAGAATTATACTTCCTTTTCATTGCATATAAACATAGAAAAACTAATGAACAGAACTGCAGAAGCAGGAAAAACTCTTTACACATGGCATTTGGTACTTTAGTACTAGTATGAAGTTATATTAATTTTCCCTACTGAATTTATTTATTAGCATAATGTCCCTCCCCAACACACACACACACACACACATACACACACACAACCAAAATTTTGGCCTTAAGTAAAATTGAATCCAGAAAACTTGTCAGGCAATCTTCAATGATAATTACAGGATACTCTTTTAGAACAGGGTAAGACATGGAAATAATATTGTACCACCTCATCACTTTGTAGCTAAAGAAGCTGAAAGATGACATGGGTCGGTGGTGAGAGGTGGATTCCTGGCCTCCCGACTTTCAGTCCAGTGAGCCTTACTCAATGTCACAAGGCCTATACTTGTCATTCTTTCTCAGTTTTGAGATTCCACCTCTGGTCCCCTAATCTTAGCCTCAGCCATTCTTTCACTTAGGAATGACTACCCCTCATCCTATCGAGACCAGGCTGTTTCCAGTAGTTTGTTATCTTAGCCTCTCCTGTAAACTGCCGTCATTCTTCATCATCTCTCCATCACCACCCAGTTTATTGATGTATGCATAAATATTTCAGTGTACATAATGTTTATCATCTTCAGATATTTATGCAGCAGTGGTATTGGGTATCATGTTTAAAAGCTCTTCTACCCCTGGATATTAGTAGAAAGCTGGCGTTTGACCTACTTGAATATATATCTGAAGAGGAAATAGACTCTAAGGCAGATTATGCAAGCAATAGAGTTATTGGGGAGTTTTCTAGGGAAGAGCACCCGCAAAGGAGTGGAAGAAATTACATTGTGATGCAACCACAACAGGGGCCTCAGCTAATCCTACAGGGAGCTTTGACGCTGGGATGACCCTGAATTGAGGCAAGAGAGCGGTGTGTTTTTCCTTTATAAAGTGGTCACCAGAAGCGGGCAGCAGTGGAAAGGGAGCCTGACTGGGCATGTCAGCTCCGTTGGCTCTGAGCTCAGTAGTCAACAAGCAGAGCAGTTAGGGAAATGAGTGCCTAGATTCTTGAGAAGGACCTAGGCGAGCACCTGGCATCCCCTGTATGCTGATAATATGGGATTTTACAGTTTCTAAACATCCCTAGTCTAACTGAAGAAGGTTGTTTAAAAAGAACAACAGCAAAAAAGGAAACTACACAATACATTTTGTGGTCTTCAGGAAGATTTTGATAGAGTGTTAACACGTATTCTTAAATGCTCACTTCTGGGTCTTTGGTCCATATTGTCTTGTATGTTACAGTCACAGAGCCTTGGTGCTAGAAGGGTCTTTTGGATTACCCAATTTAATCATCTCATTTTTCAGGTAGTGAAACATTGTGAATATATTGGCTTTTCTAGGGTCGTCCAGGTAAATTTGGATAAAATTAGGAAGCCTATGTTTGCCAGATTCAGCAAGTAAAAATATAAGATGCCCACTTAATATGACTTTCATATAAATATGTCTCAAAATATTTCATGAGAGATACAAAAATATTATATATTATAATGATATATAAAGTATATATTATACAATAATATTCAATACCTGAAATTCGAATTTAGCAAAGCATCCTGCATTTTAGTTGTCAAATCTAACTAGAATTCAGTCAAACCTTTCTTACTTTCTCGTATAACTCTCTCCAAATGATTCATTAACTTTTCATAAGAGGTTTTAAAAACATAGCAGAATGGTGAAAATTATGGATTTTTTAAAAAAAAATTAAAAAAACAAAAAATCCCCCAAAAAAGGTTCGAAAAAAAAAAAAAAAGGAAAAGAAAAAAAGAAAAAAAATACATATTTCCTTCTCTCAGAGATAACCACTATGGTTTTGGCATATTTCTTCCAGGTTTTGTTCTAGGCTTAAAATATTTATCTATATGGTTTTGAATAAAGTTGGATCCTGAATATCTGATACTCTTCCACATTTCAACTGAAACAGACACATGGCTTTCCAGCTAGTTTTTTAAATGCTGTTATTGCCCAATAATGTGTTGGGATGGCAGGTTATTTTAAAGCTTTTGGGCAGAGTGAGCTTTACAGGGCATTTAGGTTTATCCTCAAACCTAACCAGAGCAATATGTGATTTTCTCTAGAAATGCTGGTTAAATATTTAATTGGTAAATGGCTTTTGACCACATCTGAAATGAGCATGCCTCATTCAGTGCCTTTTGCGTACGTGGTCCTATGTATATAATTTTATTAAAAGTCAGTCCCTACTGTTAACTTGAATTTCTTAAACATTCTGCTGCTTCTCTGGGGGAATATTCAGTTTACTCTACTGTTGCGCTGTGTCTTAATGAGGTGATAATCTCCTTAAAGCTGATGCCGTTGTATCTTTGCCATATCTCCCATCCTTCATGTGCTGTTTTCTTTAAAACACTAAATCATGGTTTTAAATTTAAAAATCCATAAATGCTACTTTCTTCAAAATTTGACAGACTCTGCAATGCTAAAATCAGCATAGTCATATCCTTTTGCCATGCCTCTTTGATGCTCACAGCTGTAATTTATAGATTTGGGTTTTAGTGTACTTTGGTATGTAAACATGTATTTAAAGCATTTTTCAACTCGGTGATAATGAAATTTTCCAGGCCAGAATACTGGAGTGGGTAGCCTTTCCCTTTTCCAGGGGAATCTTCCCAACCCAGTGATCGAATCCAGGTCTCCCGCATTGCAGGCAGATTCTTTACCAGCTGAGCCACAAGGGAAGCCCCCTTGATCACCCCATTTGTATTAATGAATAAGTTCTGTTGTACTGCATCTTTCCTACCAGATATTCAATACATTCTCATTAAAATTTTAAGCCACTTCTATGAATGAGTAAAATGACTTCTGGATCTTTCAACTTGAATCTTCTTGTTTCACACAGAGCCCCCGCCAGTCATCCAAGTGCCTAATAATGTTACAGTTACTCCTGGAGAAACCGCAGTTTTGACGTGCCTTGTCATCAGTGCAGTGGATTACAATCTAACCTGGCAGAGGAATGACAGAGATGTCAGGCTGACAGATCCAGCAAGAATGAGGATCTTGGCTAACCTTTCCCTGGAGCTCAGGAGTGTGAAATTCAGCGATGCAGGAGAGTATCGCTGTGTTGTTTGCAATGAAGGAGGATCATCGACTGAGTCCGTTTTCCTCACAGTGCAAGGTACTGTGCTGACAGTGACTTCTGAGTCATGGTATCTTTCTGTTTTCCTTCTTTGATCTCTGTTGCCTTAAGTTGTCCATCCAAGGTCCTCTACCCAGACAATTACAGTTTTGAAGGATAGGATGCTGTGGATCTTGAGGGTCTGAAGGTGAGTAAGCTGGAAACTAAAACATCACTAGCAAGTAGTTAACCTTAAACACAGTTAATCCTAGTAATTGAAGACCTTTATTTTAAGGGAGTAGAAATAGAAATAGTCTCCGGATGATTTAATAGTTTTAAAATTTCTTATCTATTTTGTGAACTTGGAAAAAAAAAACTGTTTTAATTGGTTAAAAAAAAAGCAAAGTTCCTAATTTGAGTGCATTATTCGGATATTTACTTTTATGGTTTTAATTAAGTTTTAAGATGTTTCCCATCAAGGTGAAACTTTAACAAAGCTGTTTTTACCTTATTTATCTTAGACACATATGCAGACACACACACACAAAGGGCACTTACTGAAGATAATGATAAACCAGTCTTAACTGTCTGTATAGACTAAATGAGATGTTCAAATAGCTAAAAGCAAGTGTGTTAACACTGTGGTCTAACTGATACTAAATAGGTTTTTATTCCAGATTAACAAATGAAGATCAGAAGCTATTCCCAAGTATCTCTATCAGTAGAATCCTATTTGGCTTCTAAATGTCTCTAGAGTCTTAATGTAATGAGCAACTTACTATTGGCAGTTTTACACTATTTAGCTGAAAGGTTCAGTTGCTGCCTTAGGAGAGTATTTTATTTCAAGTCCTTGATGTGGGAGATTGATTGCATCAGAATCAGGTCTGGCTACTTGGTTATGGTACTAGAAACAACTTTATAACATGCCTCACTTGGTTATAATGTTGTTGTTTAAGAAAGTTACTACTGAGTTTTGAGGTTAGCTCTTGGAATGCTATTAATGGCAAAAAAAAAAAAAAAAGTGAAACTACCATGAGACTTAATAAAATGGTTGACATCTGATTCTGGTTTTCTCACTGGCATTTGAGATATATACTGCAATCTGACTATATGACTGTGCGTCTTTCATTAGTTAGTTGATCTGCTGAAACCTCTGGGGAATGTTGCTTTTGTAAATGGTTCACTACATTTCCACATAGTAAATGGCCTAGATATTTGAGTCAAAACAAGTAGTAACTTTAGTTACTAGAGTTTTGGAAGTATTTTTTACCAAACTGATTATTTTAGATAGGATACATGCTAATGGACTTCTGAAATATAACCTTGGTTCTTTCCCTTAAGTCTGTTACAATGGGATTTTAAAATAGAATCAGAGCCTTCCTTGTTTCCCCAGGTCAACTGTTTAGTCCTTTAGTATTGCTTAGTCAATTTGAACAGTGGTTCTCAAACATTTATGGATGAAGACTTATCCGAGGAACTTTTTAAAAATCAAATTTCTTACTTCATGCCCAGAGATTCTGATTTCACAGGCCTGGGTTAAGGCCTGGAGATCTGCATTTATAACTGACCTCTCAGGTGGTTTCATGGACAACATTTTCCAAAACAGTATTTGAATCTATTCTAAAGTTTGAACCTATGACATAGAAATGCATATTTTTAAAGGAAACCCTAAAACTTTATCTTCTTTGTGGTAAGTAGACTTATTATAGCCTAACAATTTAAGTTCTGAGGTTAGATGTCATAAAATATACAAAATATAAATTAAAAAGATATATGTCGTCATATGATTACTGGTTAGCTTGCATAATCTCTGCCTGCACGTGTGCTAAGTCACTACAGTCATGTCTGACTCTGCAATGCCATGGATTGTGGCCCACAAGGCTGCTCTGTCCATGGGATTCTCCAGGCAAGAATACTGGAATGGATTGCCAGGCCCTTCTCCAGGAGATCTTCTGTCTCAGGGATCGAACCTGGGTCTTCCACTTTGCAGGCAGAATCTACTGTCTGAACTACCAGGGAAGCCCCTATGTATAATCTCTATTGGTGTAAATCTGTTTAAAGGCCTTATTTTATGGCCTGGCTAGTTGGTCTTGAGTTTGAGTGAACAATTTTCGATGAAAAATTAGGTCTTAAAAATCTAACAAAGCTAGATTCTAGAATTTGATGGCACTGTTTATTAAAAATAAGACTCTAGCTATTATTATGCCCTCTGATTATCTTATGCTTGAATACATTATTGAAAAGCAGTGGATAGTTGATGAAATAAAGTGCTGTACCTAGGATTATAATTCATGAGAATATAAGATACTTGCCAACCATTGACATTGAAACAAATTGTAAATTAATTTCACTTTTATGCAGCTACATGTTTTAAAAAGAATAAATAAAAAATAGTTCAAGAAAGCTTAAAAGATATAACAGCTACTTGGATTGAATACACACTTTAGGAATATTTTTTTGCTTACAGGAGAATCAGTAGCTTAATTTATAACCTCATTTATCTTGCTCTGCCTCCACAGATCTGTTTGGAAACTTTTTCTGTCTGTAATACTTTTAAAAGTTAAACATCCAGACTTTACAAGTTTTGGTAGTAGGTTTATGAAATATAATTAGCAAGAATTTTCTGGTTAAAAATAGCACGTGTCTAGCTACTGCAGCCTTTTCTCATTAACAGTAAAATATAAAGACCTAAAAAAGACAAAACTGAAGAATACCAAAAACCAGTTTCAATCTACAGTGGCAAAAATTGGGGGAGGAATTTTATATATTTCATATCAAGAATGGTGTTTGTATAAATGAATTGAATGGAATGAAAATTTCAATCAGCAGTCCATCTTTTTTATGTCCACATGAAAGCAGAGAACGTGTATCTTTGTTTCTTCATGTCTTAGTTCGCTTCAAAAAGAAAATGTTACCCTTTAGGAAGCCAGCATGCTATCTCCTTAAACCTATCAATAGCAATAACCAGCTAGTTAAGAAAACAGTGTGACAAAAAGTAGACAGGAAACCTGGCACCATGTAAAAAATTAACCTGAGATATATTTCTCATGAAATGAATATAGAAGCATTGATGGGTATGTCAGCAGGGAGTTTAGAGACAAATGGTAGCAGAGGGAGCTTCCCACCTCAGCCAGAAGGGCATCATGGATGAGCATCAGGCAAGGAGCTATGCACATCAGACTTTTAGCCACAGAGCTACAGGGGGTTCACCAAGAACATAAGTAGACAGAGAACAAAGCTAGGTTCCTTCAAATACTTTGTTTTCTGACACTGAGCCTGGATAGAAGCCACATCATTTGAGGATTAATAAACAGAAAATTGTCAAATACAGCAAAATGGGAGAAAAATAGAGCACAGAACCTAAGAAAAAATACTGGGGAACAAAACAATGGGGGATAGACTTAGAAGAAATAGGTGCTTTGAAAGTAGCAGTTTATTTCTAAAGACTGGAAAAAATGTTTCACATCACCAGTGTCTTTCAAAATGATCTATCCTCTTTAAGTGGGATTATATATTTATGAAGGAAGCACTGGCTAATATGAAAGGACAATCACAAGTGTCATGGAAGAAAAAAGGATTTGATTTTTAAAGTGCAGGATTATAATGCAATCTGAATCAGAGATACTGAGGAGCAGGATTTCTACTATGTAAGAATAAAATCAGAAATGTGCTGAATAAACTTGAGAAGTCCTTTCAGAATGTTGAGGAAAAGGACTAAGAGTTGAATAATATGACTCTTAAGTAGAAATAAAAACAGAATGGAACTTTAAGGTTTACAGGTATATAACATACATAGGTGCTCAACAAAAAGAAAAGAAATAGGTGAAGATATAATTGAAGAAAACTGTACTAGAGAGGAAAAACAAACTGTCCATAGTGAGCAAATCCAGCAAGATCAGTGAAGGGAGAACTTCATCTAAACACATTCTGTATGAAATTTCAAATTACTTGTATAAGGGGAAAAAACTCCACAGCATACAGACTAAACCAGTATATTTTGTAAACAGGGAGAAAATCAGACTGGTACCAAACTTCTCAGGAATGCTAAAAGCTGGAAAGGAATTGAAGTGGATGTTTGTCATATTTTGGCTCTTAGGGTCTGAACATTTTCCCTAATTTGGAGAGGAATTCTTTACTACTTTTTTTTAAATAGGAGTATACATGCTTTACAGTGTTGGTTTCTGCTTGTACAATGAAGTAAATCATTTATATGCATACATGTTATCTCCGCCCTCTTGAATCTCCATCCCACCCATCTAAGTCATCACGGAGCACTGAACTCAGCTCCCTGTGGTTTACTGCGGGTTCCCACTAGCTGTCTATTTTGCACATAGCAGTGTATATATGTAAAACCTAGTCTTCAAATTCATCTCACCCTTCCCTTCCCCCCACCCCCAGGTCTACATGTTCATTCTCTATATCTGTGTCTCTATTCCTGCCCTGAAACTAGGTCCATCTGTACGTTTTCTAGGTTCCTCATTCATGTGTTAATTTACAATATTTGTTTTTCTCTTTCTGACTGACTTCACTCTGCGTGACAGATGCTAGGTTCATCCATGTCTCAACAAATGACCCAATTTCATTCTTTTTTATGGCTCAGTAATATTGTATTGTATATATGTACCACATCTTTATCCATTCATCTATTGATGGACACTTTGTTTCCATGTCCTGGCTGCCGTTAATAGTGCTTCAGTGAACATTGGGATTTATCTATCTTTTGGAATTATGGTTTTCTCAGGGTGTATACCCAGTAGTGGAATTGCTGGAAAACAAATTTACAGTTATCAGGGAATAAGGGAGAGGGAAAGATAAATTGGAAGATTGGAATTGACATATACATGCTACTATAAATAAAATAGATGACTTGTAAAGACCTACTGTATAGCATAGGGAATTTTACTCAATACTCTGTAATAACCTACATGAGAAATGATCTAAAAATATAAAAAAAAAGAAATATAAATATATGTATAACTGATTCACTTTGCTGTACACCTGAAACTAATAAACATTGTAAATCAACTATATCCCAGTAATTTTTTTTTTTAAAGAAAGTGGAAAACAAATGAGATCCGATAATTACCTTTCCCCAAACCCTTGCAGGTCACATTACCTAGAGTCAGCCCCTCAGATGCTCCCTGTGGGATTTTTAATTTTTACTGAGACCATGGACATTTAAAAGACTTCAGTTTTGGCAGCATCATAGGATTTTGAGTCCAATAGCAGCAGAAGTAAATGATCCAGTGGCCTTTTTCCATCACTTTAATTTCCCTCACTGACTGTTAGGTTCATTATCAATTTATCAAAAGAGCCTTGAAAGGAAATGCTGATCTCAGAAACTGGCTGTCGAATCAGTTTTACTAATGAGCATGAGAGA